CAGGTCTTGCCCTTTTTTGAGTTTTAGTTTTATTTTCTCTTCCCCTCCTGACGTGCCTTACTAATTTGGTGACCCAGGGTTAAGTTCCTTAGCTTCTCTAAGTCTCAGTTTCTTTAACTAAAATGGGCTAATAATAGCAATCATCTTATGGGGGTTCTTGGACAATATATGAAGAGTGTTCAGCAACAGAGACTCAGACATGGAAGTTATTAATGTATGTTAGTTTCCTTCCTCACGGTCCATCTCTTTTCCCTCTACCAAGAAAATTAGCCAGACAGAAAAAGTTGGGAACATATGATTTCACTCATATGGGATATAAAATTGAAAGCAACAAATGAACAAACAGGAAAAACAAACAAACAAAAACTCATAGTCACAGACAACATTATGGTGGTTACCAGAGGGAAGACAATTTGATTTTGGGTGGTGAGCATACAATGAAATAGACAAATGATGTATCATAGAATTGTATGCCTATAACTTATATGTTTATTAACCAACAAATTTAATTTTAAAAAATTGTTCTCATATCTTTCTCATTGATATTTACCTGTTGGTGAGTTTGGCCTTAGTAGTCTGTTTCCATTCATGAAGAGAGGTAAATATTTCTGAAATAAACCTTTAAGAGCAGTCCATAGTGCTGGGGATCTTGGTAGCTGGATTATACGTTGAGAAATCTCTCTTAGTTTGAAGTTTAGGAACTGAACTGTCCAGGCTGCCCTACGTATGGTCACCAGAAGTCTGTGAGAGGCCGGGACAGTCCATGTTCTGCCTTACATCTCCCCATTGTCATCCCGGGAACCACAAGCCTGACAGCGACCTCTGTCATTAGCTGGCAGTTTTCTTGTTGGCTTTTATCTGCTTTCTTCTGTGAAGATATAAAAGCTGTCAGCTTTGGAAGGAAGAGTGGCCATGTGACACGCTGGGTGGTTTGGTGGCACCAGGCTGGAAATGGAGCAACCTTTTTTTTTTTTAATGTCTCAAAGTTTGTTTTCCCCATACACTTGACATTTCCTTGTTAAAGATTAGATTTTCTTCTGTTTCATTTAAAAAAAAATTTCAAATATCTTTGATAGAGATTAAAATTTCAATAATTCTCAAACACTGACTACTGTTTGCAGATGGGACTGATGTGTAAATGAAAGAGCTATTGATGGGTTTCTGGAGATGGGCCTGGTGCTGGCTTTATCACGAGTATGTCTTCTTTAATAGGTTACAGCATCTTTCATGCTTGGTTTCTCATGACCCTCAATATTGATTTTCTCTCACATAATGATAATCATAAAAATAACTAACATTTATTCAGCACTTACTCTGAGTTAGGTGGCATGCCAAGCCCTTGAATGTGTTTTCTAATTTAAACCTCAGAAGGATCTTCGGAGGTAGGCACCATTATTGCCCTTATTTTACATATAAGGAAAACAAAGCTTCAGCGATTATCTATTTCAGTGAAGACTGGCAGAGAGTAAATTAGTGTGTTAGTAACTTAAACCTGTTCTATATGATGGTTGTATTCTTAAATATTTTGGTGTTCAGTTATGGGATCCTTTTCAGAGTTGGATAAATGCTGTCCTGAGATTTTGCCGGAAACATAAACTTATACTTGGGAAAGAATTGTTGCAAATGGAAGTAGGCAAGATTTGAAAAATTCATATACTTTCCCTTAAAATCTTTATTTTCTCTGTTATCAAGACTGGGCCATGAGCAATTCAATGGCAGGCAATGTAAATATCTCGAAGATCCCGTGACCCTATCAAATATATATAAAAGCCTAAGCAACTGGCTGACTAGCTGACCATCCAGTAGCTATGATGCACACTGACCATCAGGGGCAGAAGCTCAATGAAGGAGCAAAAACCACAGGCATGGAAACACGGAACAGACTGATGAATCTCAGAGGGAAGGAAAGAAGTGGGAGGTTGGGAAGAGATTACCCAAAGATCATATATGCATACTAGAGGCCTGGTGCATGAATTTGTGCACCAGTGGGGTCCCTCTGCCTGGCCTATGGGGAATGAGCCCAAAACAGCAGTCCAACATCCCCTGAGGGGTCCCAGATTGCGAGAGGGTGCAGGCCAGGCTGAGGGACCTCACGAATCCATGCACTGGGCTTCTAGTATTGTAATAATTATATATGGTATCAGGTAGATATTGGAAATATCAGGGGAACACTTTGTAAAGTATATGATGGTTTCACCACTCTGCTGTATACCTGAAATTAATATAAATGTTGAACGTAAACTGTAATTAAATAAAATGAATAAAAAAAAGATTCTAAGGTTTCTGAGCTGAGCAAATCTAAGGACAGAGTTGCCATATAGCTAAGGCTGGGAAAGCCATTTTAAGGAGTCTTTGGTGGTTAGTTGACCATTTTTGCTATGCCAACACAGCAGTGTGACCTGATCCAATCCTCAGACTACACCTAAGTGGGCAGTGGGTGGTAGGACTGAGGTTAGAAGGAAGAAAGCCATTGGATTTGGGTACTTGGCTTGAAGTTCACACCTGTTCATTGGCCATTAGCACAAACAATCACCCACTTATTTTGTAATATGCTGTCCACAGATAGGTTGGGTTTAGAGGAAACAAAGAAATACATTCATGACTTTGATCAATAATTGTTGAACATCCATTGGATATATGGCACAGGACTGTGCAATATGATGAACAATAGAATTTAATTCCTGGATCTCTTTGATAAACAGAAACCTTCATTTCCAGGTTCATCATCTTGTTCTGACCCAAGTTTTTTAGTAGTTCATCATCTTGTTCTGACCCCAATTTTTTAATGTCTTGGAGGTCCCCAATGGTAATATCATGCGTGCAGACAAATGGACATTCCATCATCATATAACAGGCATATCTAAGCTGCAAAGTAACCTTTTCCCAAGGAGAACATAAAAGTAAAGAGAGATCTGTCAGCTGCATGGTAGGGCAATGACTGGGTCTAGCTTATCTCAACATGTACAGGCTTTGCACCGGCATTTCCTGGATTCTGTGTCTAACATTCTATTCTCTATCCTCAGGGCTTTCTAGACACAAACATTTGCATATGAAGCTTATGCTTCTTTCATCTTTCCATTATGTGATTACATCTCAAACAAAACCTTTTTTGAACTATAGGACATTCTTGAACTGAAATTAAAAAATTTGGCCAGTTGCACAAATTGGCACACACCCCTCGGCACGCCTTGAGTTCCTTCGCTTTCCTGCAAACCTTGCTCTGTAGGGATTACGTAGGTCACAATTCTTTGGGTGGGGACTGTCCTAACGCTGCTCTGAGTTTCCCCTCTCTGGGTCTTCCTGAAAGGTAGGGCAAAGGCTTCTAAAGGGATGTGGTAAGATGGGCACTACAGAAGTAACAGAGAAGGTGTGGAAATGTGTCCAGCCACCATTTTCATTGTGAATGCTGGAGCTTTAGGAGTTGGCAGCTTAAATTTTTAAACATTTTTTTTTTCCGATTACATTTAACACTCAGTATTATTTTGTATTCGTTTCAGGCACACAGCATAGTGGTCAGACAATCATATACTTTACAGTGTCCCCGCGATATTTCCAGGACCTACAAGGCACTATGCATAGTTATCACAATATTATTGACCACATTCCCTATGCTGTACTTACCGTCCCCATGACTGTTTTGTAACTACCAATTTGTACTTAATCCTTTCACCTATGTCACCCACCTCCCAATCCCACGCCTCTCTGGCAGCCAAAAGCCCGTTCTCTGTGTCTGTGAGTCCTGTTCCGTTTTGTTTATTCTGTTCTGTAGATTCCACATCCAAGTGAAACCATATGGTGTGGTATTTGTCCTTCTCAGGAGCCGGCAGCTTGAAAAGCCAGCAGACTGTCATGGACACCGTGACCAGGGGCTCCCGGAGGTGGAAGGTTAGACCTGGGCTGGGAGTTCACAGCAGGAGGCGCAGTCTTGGAGGCTTCAGAGAAGGTTTACCGCCAACGGTTGGCCATAAAAATTGCTGGCTCGGCCAGGTGAGCTTCCCTCCGCTGAGGCCGCCTCCACCTGGACATCTGCTGACAGGTCAAGTTGCACGAACGCCATCTGCTTGAGATTAAAAACCCAAACTGCATACTCCAAAGGGAGACCCTTGCGTTCTTTCTTCTTCCCTTCCTTTCCCTCTTATTTTCTTTAGGATGCATTTATTTTTTATTTCGATTTTTCCCTTTATTTCAGGAGACACCTTCTTCTCCCTCCATCAGCAAACCACGCACCCCCACGCATTCCACTCGGGCTCTTCCCGTTCATCTCCGGGCGAACCGCTGGCTCAGCCCGGGGCTCCCATCCTCCGCCAGTCCTCACCCCACAGCCCACTTCAAACTGCGGGAAAGCGCCTCCGCCCGCCAGCCTTCCCGTTCCCCAGCGGGGACGGCCGCACCTCAGCTTTAGCCTCCCCTGGGCGCTACCCCGCGCGGCCTCCCCGGCTCGGGGACCCCCCATCCGCCCCTTCAGCGGCCGCCGCGCGGCTCCCCGGGTGGCCCGGCCTCCCCGGCGTCGCCCCGCCCCCGCCCAGCTCCGCCCCCGGCCGCTGCTCCCTGATTGGCCCCCCGCTCCCTCCTCCCCGGGTTCCTCTCCTCCCCGCGCCCAATGGGCAGCGCCACCTGGTCCCCAAATTCCCCCGAGGGCACCGGGAGGCTCGCCTGCAACCCCCAGCGTCCCGGTGGCCAGGACGGCGGCGGCGGGGCGCACCGAAGGGAGGGGGCCGGGAGGACGCCGGAGGAGGAGCAAAGGTGTCGGCGAGAAAACTTGTGAAAGGAACAGGAAACCTGCCCGGGAGGCGACCGCTGCGGCCCCGAAGTGTCCGCGCGGCTGCGGCGTCGCTCCCCCACGCGCGGGGCAGGGCTGCCGAGCCGACCCCCGGGCGCCCCGGCCGTGCCCTCTGCAGCCGCTCCGGGCGCCGCCGCCGTGCGCTCCGCTCCGCTCCTTGGAGAGGGCGGCGAGGGCGCCGAGAAGAGGAAGGACGTCTAACCCTGGAGCATGAAGCAGCATGTCTGATAAAATGTCTAGCTTCCTCTACATCGGGGACATCGTGTCCCTGTACGCGGAGGGCTCGGTGAACGGCTTCATCAGCACGCTGGGGTAAGCCGCCGGGCCGGGCCGGGCTGGGCGGCGCGCGGTGCCGGGGCCCGGCCTCCGGGCTGGGTCGGCGCCCGCGGGCGGCGCGGCGGGTGCGCTCCGCTCGCCCGCGCGCAGGAAGCTGCCCCGAGTGGCAAGATAGTCTCTGCAAAACTTCGTAATCTCCCCACTCGGAGACGCTCCGAAAAGGAGGAAGTGATTCAGAAGCCCCGAGACAGGCCCGGCGAAGTCTTTCTGGCTGCCTCTCCACGGGTTGTTTTGATTACAATGTTGTTGTTTTTAACCCCCTTAACGGTGAAACAACACACCTCCTCTCCCCATCTTTTCTCGCTTCAGCTCTCTACCCCCTGCCTCTCCAGACCCGCTATGTAAAGAGCTGGCGATACAAGTCCGTGGCCTAGGTAGGACCTGGAAGACAGGCAAGCGAAGGGGTGAGCCCAAGTGTGGCTTTGCCCTGCGGGGGCAGCGGCCCATGCCCTCTGCGCTTAAGTAATTTCCTTTTGGCCCCGCCATCCGGGCAGCCTAAGGCCCTCCGGGCGCTGGGACCCTCAGAGGTCACCTCCGCCTGCGGGGTGCTAGAACTCAGACCTACTTTCTCCACTTCCCCGGCCTTGGCCCAATTGCCATGATGAAGCTCTCCTGGAACTCAGCTCAGTGCAGTGCCCTTAAGATTCGAGTTGATTTATGAATGGGGTACATGTTAAAACAGCATGCTAGTGGTTCAACAGGACTTTTTTGATTACTAGTATTTTCTCTTCTTTTTTTTAAAATATATATTTTATTGATTTTGTAAAGAGAGGAAGGGAGAGAGAGAGTTAGAAACATCGATGAGAGAGAGAGTCATCGATCAGCTGCCTCTTGCACACCCCCTACTGGGGATATGCCCGCAACCAAGGTACATGCCGTTGACCGGAATCGAACCCGGGACCCTTCAGTCCCCAAGCCTACGCTCTAGCCACTGGGCCAAACCGGTTTCGGCTGATTACTCGTATTTTCACGGTCTTGATTGAGAATACCAGGTCGCAGTTCTAGTGCACACTGCCACCTATTTGGTGAGTATGTATTTAGTTGTTGCTGCATGGTCTCAGCAGGCAGACTGCTGAGTTCAGAGAATTCAGGCTGCAGAACTGGTGTTTCTACTCGGTCACTGTTTTCGGCAGTGAGGTTTTAGCAGACGTGACTTAACATGCAGAGCCCCGGAGTGTGACTTCCAGCCCTGTGATAACGGAGTGGTGCCTACTCTGCAGGGGGCGTGGAAGTCACGAGAACTTCCAGTGTCTGTTATGTGTGCGCCCACCTCTCCCCCTGGGTGAAAGAAGGGAGATTTAATTGAATCCCTTTAAGATCAGTGATATTGATTTGTCAAACAGAAGGGTGCGGATAATAAAAAAGCCTTGCCAGTGCTTATGTTGGGTTTGTAAGTCTTGAGCTACCATTTGTTTCTGAGAGAATTCACAGTGTTAGTTCAGTTTTTTGGGGCGCCCAACAGCATTTTGCCAATGAGCTTCGCTGCATTTCACACTTAGCCTCCATAGACTCCATACCTGTGGCAGTTAAGCAGGGAGTGCTCCAGGGTCTGGATGCTTGAGGTCCAATCCTGGCTTTTCCACTTGTGACCCTTTTCACCCCAAGGAAGTTACGTAATGGCTGTTTCTCAGTTTCCTCATTTTTGAAAAAACAAAACAAAAAACCAACAACAACAAAAACCCACAAGAATAATGGTTTCTGTCTCAGAGGGTATGGTGAGGAAGAAGTTAATATATGTAAAGTGCTTGGGATGATATCTGTCAATGAATAAACACTTATAAAAAGTGTTAACTATTGTAACCATGAGCAATGGTTACAGTTGTGGACAAAATAATAAAAGGATTAGGAGTAAAGTGCACACTCTGGACAAACAAAAAGTCATGTTTTATAGTGTATGGGTAGCAATTGGCACAGAGGGCTTTCGATGGGAAGTCAGGAAGGTACAACTTTAGCCATTGTGAAGTCTGCCCTCTCATTTTAGAGATATAGGGGCTGAGGGCAGGAGAAATAAACGGAATACATTAATGCCACAGCTGGAACTGTAACCCTGTCTCCAGACTCCCACTCAAGAACTCGTTTCTTTGGTTGCGCGTCATAATCTTTAAGCCTTGAGTAAAAAATTAACTTGACCTTTCATGTAGTATATACGTTTGTATAAATGTTGCTTATTTGTGTCCAGTAGCTCTTGCTGGTGTTTTGAAAACTTAAGTTTCCTTACAGTGTGTTTGTACAGTATTGTTTTCTGTTAACGAACCGGGTCTTGAGGTTGCTATTATATAAGACCTTTGTGCAGCTGATTCTAAGTTGAGGATCTTTAGAAATGCTGGCTTTGGTGAAGCTTGGTGTTTTGATTGGGTATTTTTTTTTTTTTTTTAACCTTGTGAAACTCATCGTTCTTTTAGGAGTTATAATCTTTTAGGAGTGATAAAGCCCCAGGAAATGGTGTGCATGCCACATGATGTTTTCTAGGCAGAGTAGCATCATCTATTTTATTCACTTAGAACACAATTGGTAGAGATGTATTTTTGCAAGTTGATTTTAGGGCTATGAAATCAAAGCGGCATGGTAGTTATGGTTTTTCATTATATCGCTGTAGAGACATTATTTATACACATTCTGTGTCAAAGACAGAGTTCATGCCTCTAGTTGAACTTTCTTGCTCTTTTATTAGGTGAAGATCTTATTCTAGGCCTGTTGCTAATTAGCCACATGACCTTGTTCATGTCATATTCTCTTTTTGTGTCAGCTGTGCCCAGCCCCCTGGGGTATTATACTAGTAAAATTGAATAAAAGAGACAGAAATGAGAGTCCATTTTTTTTGGAAAGTGCTAGGAAAATCCATATTATCCTGTCTAATAAAGAGGGAATATGCTAATTGACCATCATACCCTCACAAAGTGGTGGCACCCACAGGCAATAAGGAGGGAATATGCTAATTGACTGCCACACATTCAAAGATGGAGGCCCTCACAGACACAAGATGGCAGTGCCCAGTACCCTAAGCCTCACAAGGGTGACAGGTGTGCAGTACAGCTGGGCCTGCCCCCAGTCAGGTCCAGCTCCTCCGAATACCTGCCTTTGGAGTCCCACAATCCCCTTAGCCCCCCAGCCGCCCAGGGTTGGTTGAGGCTTGCACTGCTGGCAGTGGCAGCAGCAGAGGTGTGATGGGGGTGTCACCTTCCCCTAATCTCTGGGTCGCCTCACACCCCTGAAAGCTCCTGGACTGTGAGAAGGGGCAGGCCAGGCTGAGGCCCCCTTCCCCCATTGCATTTATTTTCATGCATCGGGTCTCTAGTGCTTATATATTTGTGGCCATTACATTTATTCAAAAGATGTGTGGATTGTTAAAGTGAATCAGGATCTGGATTGGAGACATTGGCATTGTATTTAGTCAAAATACTTTGTTCCCCTTAATATTAAAAACTCAATGGCAGAGCTAAAAATTAGGCTTAAAGTTTCTGATTTCTATTTTAGCTCTTTTGACAGCAACAGGATGTTTGTTTGTTTTTAATTTAACTTAGGAGAGTGGTTAATGAGAACTGAGTTTACACATCATTTTGAGGAAATTAATAATGCTTGTCTGCAAATTTGCCTGATTTTTAACATTAAAGATATAAATAAATTTGGGAGGATACACATTATTATTTAGCTTTGGGAATTTTTGCAATTAGTAACGCATTTTTTCAGTTGAAGAAAATCACTGAGTTGCACTATATTAGAGTTTATCAGGCCCTTTTTAAAAGGCACTTTCAACTGGAAATGTGGAGGGATTTTTTTTAAGCCCTGTGACACAGCTTGTAAGTGTGTTTCCCAGTATGTGAGAAATTAGAATGCCTCAGTTGCGAAGATTTGCATTTTCCCTTTTTTCTCTAGTTATTCTTTAACCAGGGTCTACCTGATATTTCTGAATACTGAATTGTTTGTTGCAAACTGAAGTATTCTTTCCCCAGTTTGTGTAGGTGCAAAGGGGACCTGCTATGTATTTTCTAACTTAAATTTTCATCTAAACATCATTTTGTAAACACATTGACTTCAGGAAAACTGCTTTATTGAGTGAAGATGGTACATATTTTAAATAAATGAATTTTTGCTACTGGTGCATTTTAGGGCTTTAGTTCGTACTTTAAAAATGAAGGAGGGAATTTCGGAATGCGCGGTACCATTTCAAATACCGCACATTCCGAAATTCCCTCTTTCATTGTCCCTTTCCCCTTCCTCCCTTTTCTTTACACTGAAGTTTTCTTCTCTGGATGTTGCCACATTAGATACTTTATATTTATGGGTCCCTCAAGTTGATCACTGATCAGGTACCATATGGTGGGAATGAGCATAGCAGAATTCCCAGAATGGGTGGGATAGTAAAAGCAGGGAAAGGTAATGAATTCCTTCATTGTCTCTTCTCTGCATGGCTGACAGATTAGTAAATGATAAGTGTGCATATATGTATTGGTGTGTGTGTGTGTGTGTGTGCATGTGTGTGTGCACGTAGATCTCAGGATCTATTAAGAATCAACACCTACTAGTTAAGGTCTCAGAAAATTGTCAGGTGACCACACATTGAGGCAGTGCCTGCAATAGCCCCATGAGGTATAAGAAGGCTTTGGTTAACTGCATATTACAATAGGGATGCCATCCTATATAATAAAGAGGTAATATGCAAATTTCAAATACAGTATTAATTATCCCTTTTCCCTTTCTCCCTTTTCTTTACACTGAGATTTTCTTCTATGGTTGTTGCCACATCAGATACTTCATATTTCGTAAAATTCTAAAAATTGACCCTCACATCACAAGATGGCCACCCATACATTGTCACAAGATGTCCAGGCCTGCAAGAGTGGCAGTTGGGTGACCAGTCTTGCAGGGGAGGGCAGTTGGAGGCTATCAGGCTGGCAGGGGAGTAGTTAGGTGTCAATCAGGCCAGCAGGGGAGTGGTTAGGGGGGCAATCAGGCTGGCAGAGAGAAGTAGTTAGGGC